GAGAAGGAGGGAGAGAGGATGAGAGAGCGGCTCACGGAGAGAGGAAGAGAGGGGATGAGTCTGAGAGCAGAACCCCTTGAAACGGCTTGAAGTGCAGCAGCGCTTAAGCAAGAGTGCACATATGCCCACTAATTCTACGTCTACGCGTGTGTGTACGCAGGGGAGAGTGACAGCCGTTCCCGTAAATGCCCGTGAATGCTGAATCCAGCAAGAATCTGGTGTTAGGGCAGAGGCGGGGAGCGATCCATTTTAAAACTATGTGCATTAACTATACTTTTCCCCATAGATTAAGCACTCCACATGAATAATTTAGCCTCTCTTATGCTAATGGGATCATGAAAGTATCCCCTCCGTACCGTGTTTTCTCCCCCTCCGCAGCAAACTCTTCTCGGCTTTCAGCAGCGGCCCTGCCCCTTCCCAACAAAACCATCAGACAGACGCGCCGCACTGTTTCCACAACAGGCACCTGGCTAACGCGGGGGCCGGCGTGTAGCGGCACGGCTAACGCAGTTGGCGAAGCGCTGCAGCGCTGTTGTCTTCGCTCAGAAGCTACAGCTTTTTAGATTGTTCTCCGTCAAAGTGTAGCTTACTTGCCGCCACTGACGGCTAGGTGAGTAGTAGTTGTACTGTCAATGTTCACGTGATCGATGGTGCCGTTGAGCTGGGTGACGACGACCAAGGCAGACACCCTCTGTGTTTTCTTTTTGGGAGGGGAAGTGGACACTTCCTGTGTGTTTATGTGTTTCTCTGGGTTTTCTTTTTTTTTTGTTGTTGTTGTTTTTGTTCAGCCTCTGCGATCACACACTTAAAAATACCCAAGCGCACATTTACAACACATGCACTCCCTTGTTGCTCCAGCATTGTGTTGCGTTGAGGTGGGGGCACTGTGTAAAAATTATCAGTGCTCCGACAGCTGGGAGTGAGGGCCATGAAACAGCAGGGCTTGGGTCTGCTTTATTGTTTATCTGTTGTTTATGGGCCAGTGTTCAGCGTTAATTACGACACTAAATTAAACTCTAACAGGCACTTAGAGGGAACCAGCTAACACACACACACACACACACATGTACACACACACACAGACTATATATATGTCCTATACACCTCCGCAGCTCGACCATAGGCTACCAAAACACATCACGTCTCGCATTCATCACAGATTCTGCTGATCTCTCAGTGGTGGGTCCAATTCTCCCTCTTTTTGGGGTTCTTCATGGCCATTAGAAAGTAGAAAAGGGAAGCCAGCGGTCAGGAAAATCCCAGACTCAAAAGGCCTCCTCCATGTTGGGACTCTCTGCGCAGAGACGAGGAGTGGTGTCCCCCCCAGGAATGCCCCCCCCCCCCCCACCCCCCGGGTGAGTTCAACCACAAAGACCTTGCTGAGTGGGGCCCCTGGCCAGGGCCAAGGGGGCTCACCACACTCCCCACGCGTAGACACACACACACACACACACACAAATGTACCACAATACCATCAGGCGCAGCGTGCTCCCTTGGAGCCGAACACTCAAGCTCTCCCTCTCTTCCTCCCTTCCTCTCCATCTCGGCCTCTCTCCGTCTCTCGGGGGAGTCTGTCTACCCACCGAGCGCGGGGATTGTTAAATTGCTGAGAAAATGTACAAAATGCTTTCTCCTCTCTTCGGTGGAGCCTTCTGCATGTACAGTGGAGTTGTGCAGAAAGCCCCTTTGCTCACCACTCAAGATGTCAACGTGGATTTTGGTCTTCATGCATAGCTAATAATTGCCAGTGTGGACCAGACACACACACACACACACACACACACACACACACACACACACTGAGACACACGCATAGGCTCATACAGCAAGTGGGGAACAACATTTCCCACCATTCTGTATCGTTGTCGGGGATTTACAGTTAATTTGACTGTTTCGTAAGGGGGAAACATGCAGAATATTTTATCAGCTGCTCAATCACACGCGATGTGTTTTAACATATTGTATATATGTTATGGACACCTGCTTGGAAACTATGGCTACATTAAGGCGCGAACATTCATCAAACTTAACTCCCTCCAACTGATGTCTGTGATGTTTCCAGAGAAGCTTGGGGGATTTCACAATGATGTGCAAGCAAAGACAAATGGAGATATTTTGTGTTACCTTCTTAACCGCCTCCCATAAACTGTGGATATTTGTTTATCTACCTAGAACGGAGGGAGTCACTTTGGTAAGTTAGAGTGCAGAATTTGCCCTGAGGGTGATGATTCATATTTTGTTTTTTGGAGGAAAATTCTAAGGAAAAAAGGGAAAAAAGTGTGTTAAGAGGCTGGGGAGAGATAGCAGATCTGAGTATTAAAACCCTCTTCATGTTTGTCAGAACCTTAACTGGCAAACTTTACCCACAGCGATGAGCACGAGCACCTTGGTTTACGGCTTGACAATAAATCGTTCCACACGAGGGGCGGGATATTTGCGAACTTGTTGAAGTTGTTTTTGGCATATGTTCAGAGCAACGCTCAGTGCTGAGATAGAAGACGGAGATTTGTAGAAGTTATCTGTGTTCACAGCAACAATCCAGAGTCCTAAACGCAGAGATCACACTGCACTGAGAAAAGGTAAGCGAGTGATGCTGAAATAACCTAAAACTTTCTAATCTTTTAAACTTTCTCCTTTCAAAACAAAACACGCTTGACCATTTTTTGAATAAATGGACACGGGGATGCTCGTATTTTTTTCCACGCCACAGGCACATATGCAACCCACTTTTCAAAACAAAAGATGGCGGAAGAAAGTTGGTGGTTTTTCTTGGCAGCTGAAACAAAAAAAGCACTGTGGGTCTCCTGCACTCTTTACCCCCTCTTGCAATATCTTACCGGCTCCCATCTTATTCGCTCTTCCTCAACTGATCCACATCGTCACCCCTTTTAACAGGGGCCAAGCTGTTAAAGACCCCATTACAGAAGTGAAGCCCACATTTCACATTTTCTCTGTGGACGTGAGAGCGTGGACCACAGATTTTATGTGGACGTGCATTGAGATAGGAGGCGAGTTCATGCGTGGAGTGGAGTGGCGTCGCGGAGAGGAGGGGAGAAGGTGGAGAGGTTGTGTAGGGAAGGTTGTGTCGGAATGGAAGGGCCAGACTCGGGAGTCAGCGAGAGCTTCAAGCGTTAACGTAATTGCAAGAATGTGAAAAATGAGGCGGCGGGGCTCCCGAGCGGAGCGAAAGGTCAGAGCACGCCTCACACAAAACAACTGGTTGGAGGACGGCCTCATTAGACCATTAAATCAGCTGCCCTCTCTCTCTCTCTCTCTCTCCCTCTCTGGCACTTCTTTCACCTTTTTTACTATTTCACCTTCTCTACTCTTTCCCGCATTCTTTTAAGCGTCCATTCTTAACGGCTTTCTCGGCTTCTACCATGGAAGATCAAGCATTTAGCCCTCTTGAGTGTAGGTCAGGCTGAGGCTCTGATCCGGTCCAGGCCCAGCTTGGCCCGGCGTGCGGTGTCGTACCGTAACTGTCTTTGGCCTGTATTGATCTGCTGTTACTGGATACGGTGGGGAGAGGAGTCGATAAGTGCTCTGTGGATTACAGGGTCACTTGTACTTATGTGTGTAAGATAATCAATAGGCAGTGCATTTCCCCCCCCCCCCCCCCCACCCAACCAACACCCCCACTCTGTTGTTCTTGCAGTCTTCAAGCTCATTGCAAAGATAAGTGCAAAAAACCCTCCTCTCTTAATTCTGTTTTTTAACCTTCAATCAGTGTTTTTAAGTTACATATTAGTTGATCCGTAACCCCGATTGGCTGCAACTATTCATCTAGCTTTTCCAACCAACACCGATCATCATTACCCCGATAAACGTGTCACATTATTGTATTATTCAAACAGGCATATCCTGTTGCTTAGCTATCATCAACTAGCCTGTGATCCAACTGGTCCTGACACAGCCAACCACAGAGGTCCACTGCAGGCCTCAGCCTGCTGACGGTCTAACTGCTGCGTCTATCCGGAGAGGAGACCGTGGCTTAAACGGCCCCACCACAGACACACGTATCCCATCGATGCGTTGATCGACGAGACCATAGAAAGCGGCTTCACCGTGTGCGCGAGCTGTTGTGAGCGAGCGTCGGGGTGTTTGTGTGTGTAAAGGGTGTGATGAAATTTCATGCAAAAACCGTGGACACTGCCACAGGGCACACGCGGATAAAGAGAGAGACCTACAATAACACACACACACACACACACAATGTTCCGCCTTTGAAAGGAGATCTTGATGCATTCAAAACAGGGAGAAGGCAAAAAAAAAAAGGGAAGGCCAGAGCTCATCATCTGTTTGCGTAGTTCAGGCAGCGATTGCATTTCTTAAACAATTTTAACCTCAAAATGTATCGGGAAAAAAAAGCTCGTCCTCACCTCAAAATTCAACTAACAGCATATGCTATTGATCATTTACATGTCAAATTTGATATAGAGCGTGACTGAAACACAAGGCATTTAGCTGTGACTTGCACAAGCTATCTGTAATCATTTCAAATACGTTTGTTTTGAAATGCATTATTGCTGTTTGGCAGGTCGTGTGCTAGATAACAGAAGGCTCACTGAGACATAATTAGGGGCCGTTGTGCGGGCAAAGTTAATATGATTTAAATGCTAGCAAGAACTGGCAGAAATATAGTATTAATCACCAGCTTTTGTTGAGCGCTCCAAATAGCAGCATTTTGAAAAGCCCTTTGCTAGGTTGGTGTATTACAGCGGCTGTTGCTTGCGCGAGTGTAACGGTGGATAAGCGTGTTCATTTTTAGGTGTGACTACGTGTTTACATGGGACGCCAGTCAAAAAGCCGGATAAACCAAATGAGCATAAAGAGGGCCCGGGACAGACGTGTATAGAGAAATGTGCCATCTATTCACTGTAGATCTCACACTACACAGGGTCAAAGTGAAGTGTTGGCCACTCTCGCCACGCATGACGATTGATGTGTGGTTTGTTTCTGTGTGGGTGTGTCTGTGCATGTCCTTTTCAGCGCCGGCTCACCTTGTTCGCTGCTGTTGTCGCCGCTCTGTGAAGCGTGTCCCCCGCTGGAGGGCCCCGGTGTGCCGGCCGAGTGTGTGGAGGTGGCGTCATCGTGGTCTCTCCAGGAAGCTGGGTTCTGAGGTTTGAAAGAGAGAAAGCGAGCGTGGGATCCATCCGTCCATCCGTGCGTCCGTCCACATTCCCGGTCCAAACCGCAAACCAGGAGCAGAGAGAGCAGGAAAGGAGGGGGGGAGGGGGGGTGGCAGAGGGGGAGGAGGTAGAGAGCGAGATACGCAGGAAGAGAGAGAGAGAGAGGGAGAGACCTTGTGAGTATGCTGGAAAAGTGAGTGACATCTGCAAGAGTCTACAGGCCCTGTAAAGGTCCTTGGCCTGCTTACATTCTCCCGGCAAGGCAAAGAGCCCCATTGCCTGTTTCCCTGCTAGTAGACAATCAACCATGCTACTAAAATCACTGAAGCAGCTGGCAATAAGTCATAACACTGTTATCAAAGTGTTTCATTAATGCATGAGGGCAAAAACGAAGCTCAGTTAATGTGGCGTTTGATTTTTTCGAACGTTGCAAGTGGAGCACTCGTGAGTGATTGTCCAAACACACACATGGCAGAGCCCAGTGGAGTTCGTTTATACCATAACCAATTGAGACTTCCGTGTCAAGTGAGAAATATAGAGGTAAAGTAAGTCCAAACACACCACAGGCGCCATTAATCATTACCACTGTCACAAATGAAAATAAGATATGACAGTGATTCTCTTGGCTAATCTGCCAAAAATGTGCCCACGCCCACAGCGAGAGACGGGCACGCCCACAGAGGCCGGCAGAAATACACTTACGAACACATGCTAATGACATAATAGAGCAAGAAGTGTAAACACACATGCACACACACTCACTCTTATATATACACACACAGGCGGGAAAAAGAGTGTTAAATCTCTGCTGGCTGACTACAAAGAAAAGTCCATAAACAAATTTGTGGAGTTTAAGGCGTCCTTCTTTTTTCCTCCCTTCCATCCGCAGCTCAGTTTCTCCCCTTGTCCTTCTCTTTCCTGGTCGTCCCCGATGCCCTCTCGGTGCACACAGGGAAACCGGATTTTCTACTGTACAGGAAAGGCTTTATCAGTGCCACATGAAGGCAGGCTTGGAGGTGGAATTTCCTCTGCCATTCAGGCAGCAGAGGGACGGCCTGATCACGTCATTTACTACACCCGAGCGCACACGGGCTCAATTCAAACACGCACTCCAAACAGTCCCTCGTACAGAGTTGACGCAGCTAACATAACCCTAGCTAGTCTTTCCCAATTGAAGCCGTCACACGAGCGCGATGACAAAATGTTGGCGAGCGTGAGCCCAACGTTGTCCCGGGGCCCCCGAGAGGAGCGCCCCTTGAGCAGGGCCCAAGGCAAACAAACACAGGCCTGCACCAAGGCTTGCCACAAACCTCAACCCACTTCTCGGTTCCCGCTGTCTTTTTTTCTCTTTTCTTTTTCTTTTTTTTCTCTCCCTTAAACACACATAAACACATACAACTACAAAAGCAGAGGGAAAATGTACACGCCAAAGAATATTCCAAGAAAAAAAAGAGAGAGAGAGAGCTTTTTTTTTTTTTTTTTTTTTACCATTTTGTCTAACTTCAGTTCCGGATGAATTTCTTTTCCCTCGGCTCCCGCCAGAGAGGAGCCCGCCCGCCCGCCTGCCTTGGTGCCCCAGTCAGAGTGAGCTGTACTGGCGGAGGACAGACAGAACAGCGCCTGGAGACTAGCGGAAGGTTTGCTTGGAAACGGAGGGTGTATAAGACGAGCGGCTCGCCGGGATCCCCTGGGTGCGCCGTCCTCATGTGCTGCTGCTTGCTCTGCGGCGGGCGGCGAGGCTTCTGCTACGCCTCTGAGCGAGGCCCTTTTATCTGCTAAGTTTTTTCAGGGGAAGGAGGGCTGTTTTCTCAAACAGCTCCGAGCCCAAAACGGCAGACAGAAACACACAAGGCCCTTCAGACCGTCCGCTCCACTCGAGGCGCTCTCAGCGTCAGCTGTTCACCGGATGGCAATCAGATAAAGGGCTTGGAGAATTGCAAAGAAGAGGGTTGCAAAAGAAAGGGTGGACAATAGGCCGTGCGTGGATTTTAGACCTCCGGAGTGAGCAAAGGAAAAAGGGTCCCCGCTCTTGAGAGGGGATGGATGATTGCCGCGTGTTCCCCCTCTCTGGGCCGCTGATCAACACATGGCGTACTTCGCGGAGACGACGGCTGTCGCCTGTTATTCCGCGCAACACGGCATATGCTGAGTAACATCACTAATGTGGGAAAAAACCCATCAACCCTCCGTCTTTATTGGGTCTAGGAAGGAAGTAAAATGCATTTAGGTAGAGCTGTGCTCGCTGTCTCTCCCCCAACGGGCTGTTGTTGTTCCAAGACAAGAGGGTTCTACTTCCCTGCAATGAGACCCACTGCCGGCGAGATACGAGACAGACCTGGAAAAACTATCCTCGCCGCTCTCACACACTCTTGCTCTCTTGTTCTCTCTCTCTCTCTCTTAAACACTTGCCAGCTATGGCCACAGCACGGTTTTAATGCAACAGCTGAATCGATAGGACTTAATTTAGCTATCATTGCAGAGTAATATGTCATTTTTAATGGTGCTGGCACTAAATTAAATTCAAAGACACCTCGGCTAATGGTGTAAAAGGGAATGATATTTTGCTTTGATTTGCTACCCTGTGGGTTTAATGGGCCTGTATTCGGGGATGGAGATAATGCTTTGTTAGTTTCTTTCTTATTGGGCAAAAAGCAGACCTCAGCACTTTGTGTGACCTAATAATAATAACACAGTGCATATACTACGCCTGGTGCATATGCAGTAGATATCTTTAATGAAGCACCCCCTCCCCTGTTAAACCGGCAATTCACCTCTCATTTATGACCCCATCTGCAAAACAAGACAACAAATATCCCAACAAAAGCGTTAACTTTCTGCGCTCAACAAGGCGGCGAGAGCAACAGCCTCACCTCCCCATGAATAATTTAGTGGGCCTCTCTGAGCTAAGGAGGGTGCATCAACAAACGCAGCGGCGCGCAACACAAACACACACAACCATTTTGTCACAACCCTCGTGGGTCTGAAGAAGTTCAAACAAGTCGTAAAAAAAAGAAATCATGTCACCCGAAAACAGTCTCCTTCAACCTTCTTTCTGAAAAGAAAATAGAGGAAGAAGCGAGAAGAAAAAGAAGGCCTCTAGCCCGTGTAACTATTCCCTGAAGCTGGGCATAATTAGGAGTCAAACATGGTTCACTCCCTGCACTTCACTAATTGTGTTAAAGAGCAGCGTCACCACGAAGAGGAGGACGCCGGCGAGCAAACGCACATTACATGTGGAGGCGGCAACGCGCGCGCACACAAAAACACAATAAGACTAGATAGAGTGTGAGACACAAAAGGAGTGTGGTCTCCAGGGGCAGCCTTTTCTATTTGCTGGGGTTAGCAACTGGCAGCTGATAATACAAGTTGTAATTAATATAAAAGCAGGAGACAATATGGGGAGGAGGGCTTGTAGTGGAGCCGGGCCACAGGAGAGCCTCCTCTGCTCCCGTCCCCTGTTTCTCATTTACAAACACCTGCCTGGTGCAATCTCACTTCCCTCCCTGCACTCTGCCTACATCCCTAGGAATTTCAAATAAAATTGATTTAGTGGAATCATTGAATTTCCCTCAAATTCCCCTGGAACCCGCAGGAGAGGAAAGAAATCTGTCTGAGACAGAGCGTGAGTGTGTATGTGTGTGTGTGTGTGTGTGTGTTGCAATGCCACTTGCAAAGGGCAGCTACAGGAATCCGGTACTGAATATATACAGAATCGCTGACACACCAGAAACTAACAGGGCCGTAAATCACAAAGCCAGCTGACATTTCAAGACACGTATTGCTACACGGCATAAACACAGAAAAACACACGTCTCTGCTGGGTTGAGCACGTAATTATACACGGCCTCTTTAGAAAAGTGTAGGTGCACATCTATTGAACAACGGAGTATTTACAACAACCCTCAATTATCAAGAATATAAAGTCCGCAATTTAGCAGCTAATAAGTCACTGTAACTTGTTTTAACAGACACCTGGGATTAAGGGATTATGCTTCAAAACTCTCTTTGAGGCCGAAACAACCTATTTCACTGAAGTGAACGGCATCAAAATAGCATTGTTTTAAATATCCTGTGTCATTATGAATTATTCTACTTTTAGTAGAACTCAGTGGCCACTTTACTGCAGTCATCTGTAGAATCTACTGCAAACTGTTCCGCCATAACATCCAATACTACAATGCCAATAATTCTAGTTTGTTCTGTCGACCTGGCTGTTAATCATTATCTTTGTGTAAAAACGATTTCCACAAATTCTCGGTGTGAATAATTTGTATGTTGCATTTCAATACAAGACAACCTACAGGCATTTGCATCCAAAAAGTGTCCTATGAGGGTTTATGGTTCGGGGGTTTTCGGTCAAATAGGTCAGTTTTTTTACTGCGTCATTTACAGCGAGCGTGCAGTTGAAGGAAGGGGGAGTGTGGGAGATGCAACAAGTGAGCCGAGCCTCTCCCTCCAGCCGCGGTAGCGGTGATTAGATATGCCTGCCAACGGGGCTCTGCCTCTGAACACTAATCAAATAGGAAATGTAAGGCCAGACATCCCACCATCACAAAACAATTGTGTGGAACAGACGGAGCGGTCCAAGTCAACGCTGCACTGTTTTCACGAGGGAAGGGGGGAGATCCAAACGCGGTCGCTCCCCGAGGAGAACAAAGCTAGTTGAATTAGAGCACCTCCGAAACAGAGAAATGCCACGGTTCAGCAGGTCCGCTCGGCCCGAGGGCTCTCTGTCCACGGGCGGAGGAAGGCGGTGTAGGCGCAGCACCGTGCATAGTGACACTACAGGAATAGGACATTACTGCGCACCCATCTCCGCTCGTACACTAAAGCACCGCACGGGCACGGGATGTTATTTCTTGACCAAACCTGTGACATCACCACGTCTGACCAGTGGTGTACACGGCACCAGAAAGTCAAATGTAAACAGAGAAAGCTTCTCCTTTTTTTTTTTTTTTCTTTTTTTCTTTCCAGCCGTGCAGGGAGAAGATAAGCTACACTAAAACCTCTATGGGAACTATCGCTCCCCGAGGAAAGCTCTCCAAAACAAAGCGCAGAGACCCTCAAAGCCTACAGTTTCCCGAGAACAAAATGTGAATCATAACACCGTTTGAAAAGTGTTATGCATATGCATGGAGGAAATGAAAAGCCTCGGCTAATATGTAAGCTTGACTTTACACGGGGCACAAGAAGACACAAAGGCTAATTCATTAGAACAGATAATATTCAGACACTGTTAATTCTATTTGCCTCCCTAATTGGATGTAGCACAGAAGAGACAGAATTGTTATTCATTAATTAAAAGACAAGAGAGCGAGCCATTGACAAGCTGTATCAGCCGTTCACAAATGTACACTGCTCTGTGTTATTTCTGTCTTCCCCAATCGCCAATCATATATCTTTTCCTTCTTTTGTTTGATTGGGATGGGTTGATCTGAGGAGGGGCGATGAGTTAGGGAGCCTTGGGTGGGCTACATGGTTGAGATAGTCACCCCGAGCGAATAAGCGAAATCAACAGCGTCAGCAAGGCCTCATCCCGCTCTCACTATACCATAATCCAATCATCTCTAAGACAATACTGCATCCGAGTGTGAATAAATCTGTGCTTATTATGCTCGGCTGTCAGGTATGAAGAGGAGAGAGGAGGGATACAGAAAGAGGTCCAAACACACACACACACACACACAAACAAGCTCAACGTGCCGCCTCCTTCACAGTAAAGAGCCTCATCTTCTCCAGAAAAACCAACTTTCACCAAATGAGACGTAGCCCTGGGCTATATATTAAAAATGCATATCAAAGCAAAGAAAAATGGACGTGCGAGATTCTAACTAAATAAATTAGCATATCTAACTATCAAACCGCCTTTTTCTCCTCAACGAGAAGCGAGGACAGAAATTAATAATAAAAAAACAGCCGTATACAAATGAATAGATGAATCAAGAAAAGAAGGACAGCCATTGCTTTCCATCCTGCGGCCCAGTTTTTCAAATAAATACATTTTTCTGGACTGTTTTCCATTATTCATAGTTAATTCTAGCATGAAAAAGTTGGAGCCCTTTATATGGAAATGACTGTTGCTATTCACTAAAAGGCGTTGGGATCATGACTGCACTGTTCACATTTTTTTACCTAAACAAATATTTATTTTAGCCCGTATGACTGCATGTATAAGCTCTCACAAGTAAAAAAATAAGGCACTGTATTTTTGCTCATAAAAAAATAACTATATTAGCTGGAGAGTCTGTATGTTTCTATAACATGATTAAAATCACTCACAGCTCAGACGGAGCTCTGAAAGCAAACAAGAAAAAAACTCTTCTGCTTTTGTCAACTTCAGCCCAGCAGTATAATAAAAGGTTCACTGGTGCCACAGAAGTTAAATAAATCCCTCAAAAGTTAAATACCTAATGAGGTTGTCAGTCCAAATGGCTCCAAGATAAATGGCTTGTCATGCAACCTTCTTTGTTTATTGCTGCTCCTGATTTGCTTTATTGGCATATATAATTTTCTAATTATCAAAATATTTCTCACCAGTGGACTGATGCTAATGCTGGTGTCTGAGCACTGGAGGCACTATTGGAAATTGGCTTGAGTGTCAACCATCTGCCATGAAACTAAACAGGCTAGTTTATCTAATCTCCACAATATAAACAACAGCATGCCTCATTTCTACACTTGTGTTCGACGACCACAATATTGCCGTTCTGACCGTTTCTCAAACCAACGTCGGCATCTTCAGTCTAATTACGTTTTAACTCATCGAGTGCGGTGCGGGGCCGCTGCGTGGCCATGCGCACGCGACGGGCTTCCAGAGTGAATCCACCGCTATTAGGACTGCGGCCAGACGCAGCAGATGCAGCGCAGTGACTTTGCATAACACTTAAATCTGCTTTAATTCCTAATAGGCTTGGCCTTGTGCTGCTCAGATATGAACTAGTCACTTACTCGCAATAGCGCGTTCGTTTTTTGTTTTTTTTCCACACCCAAAGCTTTAGCACAGGCATGCAAGACGCCATACTTCAAAAATATTAACTCCATAGCACAGCGTCAACTCAATATGGAGGGGGGGGTCATTACACCGAAAATACACGATTTAAACCAGGGAATCGATCTTCAAATTTAAAGCTGCTGTACTTCAGGTGCATTTAATTGAATTCAGCATTATGGTGCCTCAAGCCATAAAGGGGGGGAGGGAGGGGGGAGAGAAAGCCGCTGCAGAGCAAACCGCACGGCAATCAATACGAAACAATTAAACACATTAACATCAACAGCAATGGAAGGCCTCCAGACGAACCATCAGATGCCTTGTGAACTTGACATTGATGGTAAGCCTTTAGCTCTGAGATCTATTTCAATAGGCTACCACTTTCTCCACCTCTGCAGCAAAATCCACAGCTTTACGCACGGGCCATATCCAGCTCCCACAGCCCCCAAATATAAAGCCCTTTTCTTTTTAAATATTGCCCTAAAGCCACAGCTTACCGCTGATACCCTGCTTTAACATTAAACCTGCGTAACAGATAATTGCTTCACGATTTCTTTCTTTTTTCTTTTTTTTTTACCCAACGCATTTTTAATGCACGGTAGCCCATTTGCACACACGCGCACCCCCCTGAATGCACACGCACGCACACACACACGCACACACACACACAGACTATACCTCGTGCACGGACGCATTATGCACACATGACTGCCTCTAATCAAAAGACTAAAACAATACGTCAGTCTATTGTATCACATCTAGCTTTTGACCTTAGCACATCGATCGGCGGGTTCGCCTTGCATAACAGAGCACTGGGTCACACACTGAGCACAGGCTAAGCAGCCCAAAAGATGCCATAATGAAACACATCCAACCAATATGAGTATTTACAAAGCAGGCGATTATTCATAAGCGTTGTGTGCGTGTGTTTCGCAGACACGGACCCCAAAAACAGCACAGCGCACATTGTTGTGTTACTTACGTGATCTGCAAGGTTAGTCGACGATCCCGAGAGCTCTTCGTGATCTGATTTTGAGCTGCCATCCCGTTCGTCAATTACTAGGTCTATTGGCATTTTTCCTTTCAAACAACTGATGTACCGGTGGCAAAAATTGTCGCAGAGCTCGTGAACCTGGAGAAAAAGGAAGAAAAAAAACGGAAGAAAAAGCACCTTTTTCAGAGAGGTGGGGAAACGCTGCGGCCAGTCCAAGAATAACTCCAATTAAAGGGCGATATCGGCGTCGAGGAAACAATAGTGGCATTGTTGCTGTGCTTATTATTCTCCTGGGACTCAAGCAACAAGTTGAACGGCGAAGAAATAAACAGCCTGCTGTAAGCTGGTGGGATAATGAGTAGTTGAAACTAAATCTGCGGATCAATAACAATGTGCAACGTGACCAAAGAGACCGCTATACTTTATCAATGATCACACAGCACTTGGCTGAATAAGATAAAACGTTTAATGAACGTGACAAACATGAAACTCTGTCTGAAATATATGTCTTTTTTTATATCTGCAAATAAGTAGAACACACTTGAGTGCTATATTTTGACGAACTTTGAATAATATCAGCTGCAGCTACACGTTTTCTACCCACAGATCAGAGAAGACAAATGTAAAACAATGTAATATTTACCTTTTCTAATTCCAAGAGGTGAAATCGTAATACTTGTATGGCTTGTATCATCTGGGGGAAAAGGGGACAAAATAAGCAGTTCATATCACATCGTTTTCAGGATTCATATTATATGTTAATCTGTCCATCATAACACTAAAGAGTGCCGGCAACAGCAAAAAATATATATAGATATATATATTTATTTTTTAACTCGAAAGGGAAGCTGTATTTCTGGTCACCGCACACTGGGCAGCTGGGTCAGTTAGATGGGAACAGTGAGCACTGACAGCGGCAAATAAACTTCGCCTCCAAACTGATCTGACGTCTGCGCGGAAGTTTAAATCATATGTTCACTGTTTGCTGCTGCGGACACGCCAGAGGAACCCAAAACAAGGCAGAGTACAACCGCATTGACGCGACAATTATTGAGAGGCACGAGAGGTCAAAGTGTTCGCTTACCAAATTGTCCAACTCTGGATTTGATGAAAATAAAGGTTTTTCTGCTCGGACCTAAAATAATACAGCAAATGTCAAAGTTAGATTTAGCATGAAATGTTCGGAACGTGCGTCTATTTCCGACTTAAGATGCTATCTGGTGGTACAAAAAAATTCTCATTAATGACTTTTCTGCAGCGAAGATACAATATAACAATATAAACTTGTATTGCACATTTAAAATAAAAAGAATAAATTAGAAGCAGGCATAAAATGATGCATGCGCAATTGACGCAGCCACGACATCCCAAATATATTTATTTGTAATACTTGTGAAATTGACCTGTTTGGCAAAGACTGCAATGTCCTCATTGAAGGAGTCTGAGGAGCAGACATCGCCGCCTGCTACGCCGGGCTCCCTCGGAGTACACGTCGCCAACTCGCACTTCTCAAAAACCAGTGCGAGCAGTGGGAATAAAGGGTGACTGCAAGAGGGGAAACACAGCCTGAGAAAGGAGCCGCACACCGGCTGCACAATGCCCGCTGCAAAAAATAGCCCCCACCGACATATACGGCATCTGTCGGCTACGTGAGTCCAAAATGTCTCTTTGCACGTGCACACTGAACACAGTTGGATGAGATATTTTTTTACTTTTGTCCCGCTGAATAGTTTTTATACACATTCGTCTCAAAACAAGTGGCCGTGTTTTTTTGTTTTTTTTTAATGGGACTGTCAACAACTAAAACAATAAACCTTGGATTCAACGTTTCCTTTTTAGAGGCTGTGTGGACGGGGACGCACGAGTAAACACGCATCTGGGATATTTTACGCTTCATTCTGGGGGAATTCTGGGGATTTTAGACGCAATGTGTTGCTGAGCGACGTGTTGAGACCGACATTTCTTGCAGTGTAAAGTAGAAACGGCGGAGAAGTCCACAAAAGTGGACAAAAAAACATGACAGACACGCTCTAAATCAGTCGGTGGGAGTTTAGAGAAATTATACAGTGCGCACAAACACTTTAAATGAAATAAGCATGTTGCAGAATCACACTACAGACGCACTAAGCACCGAGGGCGTTATTACATATGAGGCTTTAAAAGTGAAGCGGAAGTGAACAGAAATATCTAATTACTTTCATGTTAACATCGCGAGAGAAACAAAATACATTTTAAAAACTAACGCATAATTAGAAAGTAAAATGTCATTTTTTTAAAGCACACGTTTAGCTTCATTAAACTGCTTTCAGTTGCTTAATTTGTGTGATCTAGATTCTTGTCAGTGTATAAAAACACGAAGGTAAACTATTCCGTGAGTACAAGAGATGAAGAGGATTTACTCTGCGCTACACCCCAGATTATAATCATACACTGGGGATTATAGCACTTTCTGAGTAGGTGTGTTTGCTGAGCAACGTCTGGAAACATTTGTTTTTTAACTTTTGCCTTCATCGGTAACAACGTCTAATTACGTTTCTTTTATTATTTAAGAATAATGCGAGGAAAGTATAATAATAAAGACACGCGGGGCGTCGTAACACACTGTGCGCGCGCGTGTGTGTGTGTGTGTGTGTGTGTGTGTGTCTCTAATTTACTGCAGACAATATCTGAAAACAATTTGAGAAGTTGTCTGCAGGCAGCAAAGAAAACGTTTAAATGTGTCAAATCTATTTTTAGGGATCAACAAATAATAGTCGGCAGTAATGTAAAGCAACTTGCAACAATTCATTCCAGCGTTTTACTTGACTTGTGCTTGTACACAGAGCTTCCATATCATTTATAATATTATTATTATAGGAGCTCGAGGCGTACTCTTACTCACGGCGGGCTTCTTGATGCCCCCCTAACAATGCGTGTGCGATTACACATGGGACAAAACTCACCCGACCAACAAAGGGGCTCCGACATTGCGGTAGAATTTAGGTGGTGGGAGAGAAACTCCATCAAAACTCACTAATAGAAAAAAGCTTAGAAAAACTTGACTGAGGCAGTGGGGTGTAGGAGGAGGGGAAACATTTATATATATATATTGCACGCATGTTTGTTTCATGCAAACCTTACCCATAAATTTGATCTTTATCCCTCTTTAAAACGTCGTTGACAGCGGAGCCCATGCTGGCGGGCATGACGTTGGGGTGCGGAGCGTGGGCTCCGTAGTGCTGGCTGGCGTGCAGCGGCGGTCCGTGGTTCAGGTGGTGGACCTGGGGAAGCGGCCGGGGAGCGTGCGGGTCCCCGTACATCGACGCCGAGACTCCGTCCATCCCACCGTAGTGGGCCAGCTCATCGTACTGGGGAATAGATCAACAACAACAAACAACGACGACGACAACAAGAAGAAAGGAAGACAAAAAAAAGTCCGGTTACTTTCGCATTTAAAAACGAAACGTGTGCAAAGGAGATTTGCAAGAGAATGAAGCAAAGAAAGAAAGAAATTTAAAATAAATAAATAAATAAATGCACAGCGCGTGCCGCCTCGGCGTGGATACACGCAAAAGGAGACCTAACGAGCTCGTGCGAATGCGCTGCAAGCCAGCGCAGGATAAAAAGCAAAGAGTCGTATATTGTACATATACACGCATATACACACGTCTGATAAACAGTTTGCCATTACCAAAAACATTAGAACTCAAAGGCGCTCCGCGTAAGGGAGCTCGGTGGCCGAAAAAGAGCGAATTAGTTGGGAGTTCTCCTGTGAACGCGATCCACGACTGTCGTGGGGGCTCGTCGGGGTGAAAGCAGAGGCTGTCACTTTGCCTGGAGAGCAAGGGGCGCTGCAACAACAGAAACGTCAAATATAGCAGCTTTGATGTGAATGCTGCCGCCCGAGAACAAGTTATCGATACGAGCGCCTCCCCTGCAGTGGATTTGAACAGGTACGTGTAAGGAGATTTAAAAAAAAAAAAAAAACCTACCCTTTGCGCCATTGGGCTGCGCTCCAATAAACTCCTGAATCTGTCGTATATTTAATATCCCAGTCCCCGTTCAGAAAGTGATTTAGAGATCAAGATTCCGTTTTCCGACCAACTTTGCGACTTCTCCTATTCGCCAGTGTGGTTCAGTGGAGATCGTAGCATCGGGGAGTTTTGCAATTTCTCTTGTTTTCCCTCTTTCCACGGGAGGGGAGAGAAAAAAAGAAGCAAAAATGCGCCAAAGTGAAGGTTACAATCGGCCCATCAACAACCTGCATGTAACTAAACTGTCGTGTCTCATGGCTTTTTGCCACTCCGGCTGTCAATCAAAGCCAGAGGTTGTCAAGGTAATGAATGAATGACGGTCGGCGATGATGTTCAGGAGAAGGACGAATCTTTTTTAGTCCGTTTTCATCCCGCGAGTCCGCGTCTCCTTTAATGCCTCCAGATCGCTATCTTGTTTTATTATCACTGTAAAAAAAAAAAAAAAAAAAAAAGAAGAAGAAGAAGCAAAAAGAAGAGGAAGAAGAAGAAGGGAGGAAAAAGCAGTCGAAACGAAGAGACCGCGATTCAGATCTCTCCTTCCTTTCCCCCCGTAGGTATTTGGTCTATCTGGCGAGCCTGAGATGAGTGAGTGTCAGCGAGTGTTGGCAGGTTGGCTGCTAGCTTGCTTATAGAAACGGAGTCAGCGCGCAGCGCCGAGCGGTGGGCGAATGAAATGACGGATCCCGGAAGTAGCGGCGGCCATAGCCAGTCCTGCAGCAGCTCCACAAAAGAGAGAGGAGAGACCAAAGCGAGAGATATGCAGAGTGTATGCGGAGCACGGGGACGGCTTCAACTCCACACCGGGGCTATATATATATATATATATATATATTAAAAAAAAAAAAAAAGCCAAACACACACAGCTCCCAACCCGATTCCTCTTTTCTTTTCCACCGTGAAGATTCCTAAAGGACAGGGAGAAAAAAGCAAACAGGGTGAAGGCTGAGTGAAGGAGGGTTTAGCAGCGCGGAGCTCTCTGAGTGACCACGCGAATCGTGATTTAGGGTACAATAAGTAAGAGTTTGAGGTAGATTTACGAGGGATGCAATGCACAACCTTTAAGCACAATAAAATGTGACATTAACAAATGGTAAACCTTTCAACTTTTGCGTCCCCGCGCGTCCTCCGTGACACGGCGGGGTATTATAACGCTTACGAATGCTGAGGCGCTTACTTTACTTTATTTGTTTGTAGCTTGTGTACCTTTACAACTCTGAAATACCTCACAATCCAACAACAGCACTATCATTTGGCAAATGAATTGACACCCCTCTAATCCTAGAATGAACTTTTCCAACCGGGGGGGGGGGGGGCTTTGTGGAGAAAGTAATTTTGTATGTTTCTTCCGTCCAATCCCCTCTCTCAATAGAAAGCTGTGCCTTACCTCAGAGTAGTCAATTATCAAAGCTCCCTGAGATCATCAATCATGTGAGGAGATTGAAGTTTAGAGGAGGAGCAACGCTCCGGCCATCGATGGCAGTGAAGCCTTTTTTTTTGGGGGGGGGGGGGGGGGGGGGGGAGCACTTTTACGCACAGAAAAACAGAAGCAGGCCATCTATTCCCTTTAGAATGTGGCTCCATCAACGCTAATATGGCACCGCGGCTGTATTGATAGGCTCTCACATAAAGGCTCCTTTCATGGCTCCGTGACATTTTTGATGGTGAAATTAATTATTCACAGGTTAGGATTAAGGTAGACACACGCTCAGGGAGATGGGCTGTGGCCACCGGTGGAGGGTCAATAAACTCTCCCCACAAACAAAATACCAAACAGAGTTGCTTGAGGTCGTTTGCAGAAATCTGGGGAGTTTTTTTTATTTTTTATTTTTATAAAGGAAATCGATTCAATAAATGAAACCGTGACAACAGTTATGTTTGTTGGCATAATGTGGGTGGAGGAGAGGGAGTGGGGAGGGTGGTGGTGGTGGTGGAGGGGGGGGAAGTGTAGGACTGCAGGGTTTGACAAACGGCTGTGTGGACATTTCAACGTGCAACACCCCGGGAAGGAGCTGCAGAGCGGTGCGCAGAGAGCCAAGGCATTCACCGTCTCCAAGTCTCTCCCACACTCTGTAAACACAACCAGCCCGGCCGGCAGACCGCGCTATTGGAGACTGATATTTTCATGAGCTAAATACTATCATTCACATTGATTTGTGCATTAACGCTTGACTTTTTTTTCTTCTTCTTCTTCTTCTACTTCTTCCAACTTCCTTCTTTGGACAACCACGGTAAGTAGCACACACCTTACTGTATTTGCCGCTTTGTTGCACACGCGCGTCTTTACGCGGGGCAGTAAGGGGGGGTGGGAGGGGGCGGCGGCGGGGGGGGGGGGGGGGGGGGGGGGGGGGGGGGTTACGGTTGGACTATAAAAAATTTTAAAAAAGAACATGGAAGATATTGTCACTTGTATGTTTAATCTGCCGCTCGATGGAAGTATCCTTTAATCCCCAAACTGCCGTGGAGTTGGATGTATACGTGCTTCCAGGTCTTTACCGCATTTACTGTGGAAATATGTGATTTGCCCCCGAGGAGAGTGATGTAAACACCCGAAGAGCGTGTGAAAATAGCAGAGGCTAATTATGCGTGTCCAATGTACGGCTCCGCAGAAACGCGTCCTTCCCTGTAAAACTTTCAGCGAGGACTCCTAACGACGTGGAAATTCTAAGCTCCGTCTTTTTTTTTTGGTGAACTATTTATTGGAGCAATTAATGGAAGCCACAAACACACGGCGTCGTCACGAACGGCGTTTAGGTGGCGAAATGTCTTCATTTAGCTAAATAACAGCCTCGATGCAACATTACGCAGGTCGGTGTTTAATTTTCTAATTTTATTTTAATCATCATTCACTCAATAGGTAATTAAAATTAATTTTCCTCGTAAACAAGACCTGTGCCAATTTAAAACCTCCGGTTTATAACCTGACCGCATTTACAAACCAGATTATTCCAGGAGGACACCCATCACGGACAATTACGCCTTTTCACGGAAATTGGGATTTCTCACAAGGCTTTCACGTTGTGTCCGTTTTTTCACACAACTCTGGCGCGTAAATAAAAATAAAAAACAAAACATTTCTTTTTAAATCAGTAGATGGCATTAACAGGCAGTACAATTTCATCGGGTGGTGTCAAATTGAGGTCAGTTTAGGGTTAAAGCTCTCGGTGTCCGTGTGGGACATGGCCAGCTGCGTTTGGATCATTAGGAGGTGGGGGGGTTGGTGAGGGGGGGGATCCATTTCAAGGAAAACACTACTGGGACAATCACCAGGCTAAAGATCCACTGCATGTCACATCCTGAAGGTGCACCAGGTCCGCTAGCATGCGACCGAGCATCGGCACTGAACTTCCACTCCTCTGTTTACTCTTTGCAGGATTTACAATCCCTCTCCCCCCTCTGCTGCCCTGCAGGGCTCGTTGTTCACACACACACACACACACACACACGCACACACACGCACACACACACGCGCGCGCACATGCACACAAGACTGTTGCTAAATATGGAGAGAAAAGCATTGTTGATTTAATTCCCTCAAAAAGATCACTGATATGAAACCGGCTTCAAATCCTCTTAGTGACCTTAAACACTCCTGGAGAAACAATTGGCGCTCAACCGTATAGGAACAAATAAAATCGCCCTAATCTTGTTTGTAACTTTGTTCTTCTTTGGCCCTCTTCACTATGTGAGATTATGTAAACGAGCAGAGCTAATGTATAGAGGCGCTGAGATAAGACTGGATCATAGACTGACTCCTGAAGAGGCTCAGGGAGGCAAGACCCTTGCAGCCTGTGTATTTCTTCTCTCTGCAGGAGTTCGGTAATGAGAAGAAATGCGGCTGCAAATGCATGTAACGTGCATCTGCAAACACGTTCTGCCCCAAATGCAACGGCTGCGCTCGTTTAATCATTTCACGGATTTGATTCAATTCTTTAATCGACAGGTTTTACGATGGTTTAATCTTCGATTACCTCAGTCATCTGATTCTGAACTTCTTTTGACCCCCCCGGAGTGAATTGCGACTATAGGCTTTCAGAAAGTAGAGTGAGCAACTCAAATACTTGTAAAAGTTTCGCGACTAACTGTAAATTCTTCAGCTCCAAAGCCTCATTTTCCCCTCCACCGATTCTCAGAGTGTGGTGTCAAAGGGTTAGTGAGGGGGCGTGGGGGGGGGGGGGGGGGCAGCAAATGTAACTGTGGCTTGTCCTCCACACTGGAAGGAGATTATGCGGCCTTCTAGCGACATCTGGCGGCGGCGGAACCAGGGCTGTCGAAAGCTTTGCAAGAAATGTGTAAAGGCCCACAAAATGAAGCAAAAAAAGAATTATTTACTACCCCCTAACGCAGTTTTCGAAAATATATCAAATGGCTTTTATTAACTTACGAAAGGGATTGCATTAACGTCGAACGCCATCGAACGTATGAAAATAGAGATTTCGTTTTACTGTCCGAATCGAGCCTTTGTTTCTCGCTGCCTGACTCTGAACAGATTTGCTGGCAATTCATTGAGGATAGGTTCTGCGTAAGCGTTTACACCGTCACACAAAGTAGAAAATGCATTTTCCTAGTTTTTTATTATTATTATTAAAAAAATGCAAGTAGCCCTTAATGTAAATCCTAATTCGTTAGATACAGGATTAATACGCATCTTTACATCTAAGGTGCAAATAAAACACTGTAAAACTATTTAAATATTGAAAAAATCTGGACAATTTGTATTATCTGCTTTACACGTGTTAACGCTTGTTAACGAATAAAAGCATGTTAACGAATAAAAGTTAAACAATTACTCAAGCGAAGCCGGGGGAAAAAAATAGATTGGGAAGTAAAAAAAGATGACCATAACACTACATTACTGCTGAAAAATAGCGTCCTTCCCGTTCTTTTTAAAAAAATGTTGAAAGAATTATTTCAGATGCAAAACTATAATGCGATGCATTACCCCCTTCATTCAAATCGTAGTGCATTTTGTCCCACGTTGAAATAAGATGCGCGCGGCCGGAGGAGCAGCTCGGCCGGGACACGCAGTCCGAGCGGGTCACCGCCGGGATTAGAGCCCGTCGTTAACGCCTGTGCGGATACACCAAATGCTGATTTAATGAGCTTGCACTGGGTGTTTGTCCTGGAATACCTGGTGTGCATGTTAGTTACGCCACAGACGATAATCCCTGTGTGCCCCCCCCTCTCCTAACACGTGGCTTCAGGGACGGCCTCATACCTACAGCAACAAAGACGCCCGTGGAGATTTGCGTATTATTTTCTTTCCTTTTTTAAAATTTTTTATTCTTTTTTATTTCGGTTTGATTGAACAGCTCGAAGCCTATAAGGCCCGTATCCAGCCACATTACCAGCTGTAATTGAGAGAAGTTTAAGTGGAAAGCGAGGAGTTAATAGCGGTGACCCTCTTGCTGTGCCTCTGTCGCTCATCATTTATCAGGCTTAAGGGGCTTAAACAGGCAGCACAGACCCACCTTTTATTACATATCAAACCCTCTCTCCCTTATCTACATTATAGGAAATGCATGCATCGTTGCCCGTTATGCGGATTTGGAAATAGAAACATGTCCAATAAAGTCTCCTTCCTCCGCTGATCAGAGGAAATATGGCTTTAGGCGCAGCAGAGACAACCCCGGCGCGTTAAGCCTTTATTAAATTGTCTTAATTCCCCTCTGCGCTTATGATATGTATAGAAATTCCACTCTTGCGTTGGTTGTCCGGTGCAGGAAGCGGGGGGTGGGGGGTGTTTTCATGGTTCC